GGGCCGGGGCCGGGGCCGGGGCCGGGCACACAACATGCCGGCGCGCGCGCGCGCGCGCACGCCATGTATCGATGAAAGCAAATATATAAATCAGTGGGATTATTATTACCGGCTTTGGGAAGATATATTCCATTTTCTGGGTCCAGGTCTGAGCGACGATCCTGTGCTGAGGGCCCGGCCCCCCGCCTGGTCCGGGCTGGGGGTGCGAAGGTGTACACTCTCGCTCGGCGCCGGAAGGACGGACGGACGGCGGGGGGGGGGGGGGGTGCCGGCCGTTTTGGATGATTGTCCTCCAGGGTTAGCCTGGCAAACAGGCACACCCGGCCAAGCGCTCGCGGCAATCTTGCTGAATGCGCGGCAGAGCGAGATGCGCACCCGGCACACGCGCGCGCGTACGGACACCCCCCCCGCCGCGAGTGTGTGCGTACCCGCTCGCTCTGATCCTCCTCAGGAAGAGGGAGAGACACTTAGCCGTGTGCGCTGGCACTCCCCCCCCCTCGGGCCCCCCCCGGGCCGGAGCAAGGGCGTGGCATGGGGCACCTGGCCCGCTGAATCGGTGGGGACCCCTCCCCCCTTCCCTACAAGCTGGGCGTTGATGCGCGCGCCCGTCGGGCCCTCGGCTGATCTGTTGCTCGGAATGACCCCTTCGCGACGTGGCCTTTCTGTCTGGCCGTGGGGCCGATGTGGCCGGAGCACGCAAATACAAAGGCTGGCGCGGGTTTTCCCTTCCTCCCCGGCGCCGATGCGCCCCAGGCAAGCGCCACTCCGGGCCCCGCGGCGAGAGGCCATAACGGGACAAAGCTCCTGAGATTCCGAGACCGCGCACTCAGGGGGCAGGGTGTGGGGGACCGGAGCCCGGCGACAGCTCGCCCGCTCCAGGGGAGCGCCCCGGCTTCCCAGCCCCCCCCCCCGGGGGGGGGCGGGGGGCGGGACACAGAGGGGACGGGGGCATACGGGCCACGGCGGCCAGGGTACTATTCCGCGGGCAGCCCCCTTGCGGCAAATAAAGAGTCAGCCTCTCCCCTCGCTCTCTTCCTCGCTCTCTCTCTCTCTCTCTCCCCCTCTCTCTCCCGGGGGGGGGGGGGGGGGTCCCCTCGTCCGATCTCCCCCCCTCCACGTCGCCCCTCCGGCCGAGTTGCCTGCAACAGTGCGCATTCCCGACGCCCGGGGACGAGGGTAGGGGTGCTGCCTGAGCCGACCCCGGCCCAGAGGGGGATGGACGTGTGGTCTGGCCAAAATGAATGGCTCCTCATCCTCCGGTCCTCGCCCGGAGCGTGGTGTCCCCCCGCCCCCCCCCCCCCTGTCTTCCGGAGGATGGGCGCGCAAGGGAGCCGCCCTCCCGCCGGACCGGCCCTGTCCTCCAGCCCTGCCAATGAGGCGGCTGGCAGCCACGGTGGACATGGTGGTCGTTTGTGCGTCTCTCTCTCTCTCTCTCTCTCTGCCTCCGCGCGCCGGCGCCCCCCGGGTGCTACGCGCCCCCTTTTCCGCCCGATGTGGCGCGCAAGCCGCCCGCCCGCCCCCTTTCCGCGCTGCCCAGCGACAATCCGAGCCCAGGGCCGAGCAGGGGATGGGGCTCCCGGGGCCGCTCCAGACGCCGGCGGCCAGGCGGCCCCCGCGCCCCGGGGCGCGGGGGGCTCTCGACTCTCCCCGACCGGGCCATCTTGGCGCCCGGCGCCGGTGTCAGGGCAAGGGTGTGGGGCAGGCATGTGTCCGCACCCTCCGGTCAGTGTGCGTAGGGCGGCCTCTCTGCCGCTCCCGCGCACGGGCCGTCCTCAGGCCCAGCCATGTCACTCAAAAGCCCGGCCGCGGCCGGCCCTGGGCCCCCTGGCGCCCGACGCGCGCCCGCCGTGAGCCGCTCCCCAGAGGGGCGCCCCGGGCGGCTCCCGGCCCCCCCCCCCCCCCGTTGGGTCAGAAGCGCACGCACACCCCTTGTTCTCCCGAACGCTGGCTGGCACGGAGGAATTCCGTGGCTCCGTGTCTCTGTGGGTCCGAGCCCCCCTTGCCCCGGCCCGCCTCCCGCTCCCTGCCTTGCCCCACCCCGGTGCCCTGTCTCGTTCCCCTCCCTCCCTTCCTTGCGCAGTCATACCCCCCCGCCCACACTCGGAGGCTTGTGCTCGGCATTCGCTGCTGCACCAAGGGCCGCCACTTTTTTGTCGAAGCGCCCTCCGGGCCCCCTGCGCACACGCAGGATTCCGCCACCCAGCTCCCCAAGTAGAGAATTCCTCTTCTTCCCGTCCTCGTGCCCCCCCTCCTCTCGCGCGCACCCCGCCCCCCTCCCCCC